TGGTATAACAAAGTGATAATTTGTAATAACAGTTTAAGGATAAAATAATTAAAAAGAAAAGGCTGGGAACAACTTTCGGTTGACAGAAATAATTAGGTAATAAAACGATATTTCTGTGAATGATGCATGTTTGATATGTTTGTACTGATGAGCTTTAATGCTCAAAGTCAATAAAGAACTTGAACTTGATATGCCGCGTCGAAAACACGGACCATATACATGTTATATCAGAACATGACTGTATCAAACTATCGAGGCGACTAATGTCGGCGGCCAAGTTGAAGCTAATAGTGATAATTCGGAAGAAAAGTAATGACTACGATTTGACTTAGAAAATTTTTGGATTTTACTAATCAAACATTACAAAATTTACATTTAATAATAATTATTGCATAAAACACATACCCCCTCCCCCAACCTGCTTACCCACGAATCCCAATGCAAAATTATCTTTTGAATAAGTATTTGACAAAAGTTGATTCACTTGCAGCAAAATCAACAAAATCATCCAGTTTCTGAGAATCAGTGAATTACTTTCATTTTTATCGTCTCCAATTTAAAGACAAGTGTGTTTTATTTTTATTTTTTTTTCGAGTAAAATAAGATAAATTTTAGGGACAATAGGTTTTGGGTGTGTATAATTATTGTTTTAAATAATGTACAAGCTTGTAATACAAGTATACACTCAAACAGTAACAGTATTACAGAAATATGTGGCAATACATTACTTCTGGAAGAAAGAAAATAGGGGGGTACCTTTAGTGTAGAACTCATACCATGAAAAGTAATGCGTCAACATATATTTTTTAAGCTTATTATTTTTCTTAAATATAATTTAGTAAAAATAATGCAAATTTACGAAGTTTGAGTCCATAATTTTTTTTAAATGACCGAGATTGTCCTGAGAAGCATATTTTCTCACATTAAATTTTGATACAATAGCATCACAAAGTGCATCTATTTATAATAATTCATGCAAAACAATGATATTTTATTGTTTAATAGCGTGTTTCTACTCTATTTTGGGTATTAAAGTTAAATATATAGACTAAAATTAATTTATATACAACAAAATCTAGGATAGGTAAAATTTCAGTATTTTACATTTCGGGGTATATACTCCGATAGGCTATAGCGGAAAAGTGAACATGTTGACATATAATTTTTCTTGTGTCTATCCATTGCTGGGATGTATGTCTATTTTATAAAAACAGATTTTTAAAGATTGAGCCCATTTAGTGCGGAGTATATAACTACCTTAATTATGGAAACTTTTTTCCTGACACAAGATAGAAAATAACATTTTTTAAAGATGAAAATGACAACTGTGAAAACTTACTTCACAAAATGAAACAAACGTTTCTTTGAATGCTCGTATCGTTGCTCTAACAGCTTTGAGTTAGAACATTCTAATATTATTTCCTTTGATGTGGATAAAACAGTTTGTATAATTCATGTAAGGTATTGTATAGCTTCGATTTCATTATCTAAGCTTAGAAGCTCCCTAAAATGACACTTCAAAGCATTAGGCAGCTTTATATTACCCGTATACATTCACCAAACAAGACTTTTCCCACCAAACCGAATGTTTTTGCATCAAAAAATGATAAGAGGTCATTATTCTACGGGGTCATTTTTCTACAATGCACACGGAGACAAACGACCCCAGGGCCATAATTTCTACAGAAAAGTGGGTCAATTTTCTACGTAGAATATTGACCAGGCGGTCAAATTTCTACGTAGAAAAATGGCTCCCGGTCAGTATTCTACGGGGGTTACTTTTCGTCGTTACACCGGCTGGGATAAAGTGCCATGAAGGAGTGGGTACATGTATCCCCTGCAGACCGGTCACGCCCGCTGTGTGCTCCCTGTCATAATTGACAAATAATCGAAAGATTCGTCCTAAACTCAGTGTATTAATAACAGACTTACAGTTAGTGTGAAACACGTCATACAGCATTTGTTTTCGTTTTTTATTTATTAATTTCATTTCCTTAATATAACATATTTTTTATTATTTAATTTCTTTCCGATTTCTTAATTTATCAATCTTCCTTATTTTATTTCTTTTATATTATCTCATTTTTGGTTTGCACTATTTTTCTTCCGTAACTTAATCATAACATTAGAAATGAATCTGCAATTTGTATTGTTTCCCTGTTTTTGCTCTTTCTGCATTTGCCATTTATTTTTTGTAGTGAACAAATTCGACAAGATATCACAAACATCAAGACGTCCCCCGATCATTGATTGTACGTAACATTTAAACAAATAAATTCTAAGTATATTTTTGAAATTCTTTTTTAAGTTCCAACTTTTTTCAAATACTCGCTTCATCAGTTCTTGCATGCCAATTTTTTATTACAATCCTTTTGTTTAAATTTTAACTTGGTAACGGCAATTTAATTCGTGTGGTGTGTCTGGAATTTATGAATGTCTATCTTGAATTTTTTTATCTACCTTAAAATAGATACAATAACTATTACATTCTCAGGTTCATTTCATTTTTTTGGTTTTGTCAAATTACTTCCAAATATAAACAAGAGGTCCATAGGCCACATCGCTCCCCTGAGGACTAAGGGTAGGAAAAAGTAGAAAATGGATTTTATTGTAAAGTTTAAATCCAAAAGTAGTCCCATGACCAATCATAAATTTGCTATATATTTTTTAGAAAATGATTCTTAAAAAAATTTTCATATATATCTTTAAAAACTTTGGTCGGCCATTTTGGCCCCGCCCTGCCCCTGCCCCTGGGGTCATGATATGAACAAATTTGAATCTACACTACTTGTGCATGCTTCTATATGAATATGAGGAATTATGACTTTGTCATTCTTGAGAAGATGTTTAAAGAAATTTCCTATATATTACTATGCAAAACTTTGGTCGGCCATTTTGGCCCCGCCCTGCCCCTGCCCCTGGAGGTCATGATTTGAACAAATTTGAATCTACACTACTTGTGCATGCTTCCATATGAATATGAGGAATTATGGCTTTGTCATTCTTGAGAAGATGTTTAAAGAAATTTCCTATATATTACTATGCAAAACTTTGGTCGACCATTTTGTCCCCGCCCTACCCCCAGGGTTTATGATTTGTACAAACTTGAATCTACACTACCTGAGCATGCTTCCTTATAAATATGATAAATTAAGGCTTTGTCGTTCTTGAGAAGATGTTTAAAGAATGTTCCTATATATTTCTTTGTAAAAGTTTGTTTGGCCATTTTTGCCCCGCCCTACCCAGGGGATCATGATTTGAACAAACCTGAATCTACACTACCTGAACATGCTTCCATATAAATATGAGGAATTATGGCTTTGTCATTCTTGAGAAGAAGATTTTTAAAGAATTTTCCTATATACTTCTATGTAAAAGATTGGTCGGCAATATTGGCCGAGCCCTACCCCCGGAGGTCATGATTTTAAAAAACTTGAATCTGCACTACCTGAGCATGCTTCCATATAAATATGATGAATCATGGCTTTGTCATTCTTGAGAAGAAGGTGTTTAAAGAATTTTCCAATATATTTCTATGTAAAACTTTGTTCAGCCATTTTGGCCCCGCCATACTCCCGGGGGTCATGATTTAAACAAACTTTAATCTACACTACCTGAGGATGTTTCCCCACAACATTCATCTTTCCTTGCACAGTGATTCTTGAGAAGAAGATTTTTAAAATATGCCACCAAATGTTCATTAATTCCCAATTATATCCCCTTGAATGAAAGTGTGTCCCTTCATTTGAACAAACTTGAATCCCCTTCACCCAAGAATACTTTGAGGCAAGTTTAGTTGAAATTGATCCAGCGGTTCTTGGGAAGAAGTCGAAAATGTGAAAAGTTTACAGACAGACAGACAGACGGACAGACGGACGCCGGACAAAATGTGATCAGAAAAGCTCACTTGAGCCTTTGGCTCAAGAGAGCTAAAAACACAGTAGCAAGACCAAATAGGAAAGGATTAGACTATTGAAAATCATAGATTCGTATTATGGATGCAAGGTCCGCGATAAGATAGGATGCTCAACTTATAGGAGAGAAGCACTATAATAAAATAAAGCACTGGTCCTAGTAAATTAATGGAGAATGGATAATGGAAGTTTTAAACATGAATACCAAAAAAATGTTTTTAAAAGTATGGGCTCCTTTTACAAAAGCTTCAATATCAACATACAGCATCCACAAGGATAAATATAAAAAATCGACAAGAATTACATGCTAAATATATACAAAAATTATACAGCTGTACATATAAAATTCAAAGTGAATATGTTGCAAATTATACAGGAAGTCCTGATTAAATGCGTCCTTATTTAATTCTGTCTACATGTACCACAATTACAAATTACATATTTAACATTTTTTTATCAATTAAAATAGTTTGTCTAAAACAAATCTTTGTACATCTCATCGATTGTATGGCAGGAGTACTTGATAATGTTTGTTTTTGCATTTTGTTTCTCACAAATATATCTGATGAAAAAAATTAAGTGTAAAAAATCTACATTTCTTTTGAAATAAAACTAGACATATAATAAACATCGAGGATTAAATTCATAAAACCATACAAATCATGCAATCTAGGGTTTATATTTCGATTGTTTCGCATTCATGTCATAATTTATCGATAGGAATTTATTTTTATTTGCAAAAAAGCAACATGCTGTTTGTTTGTTTTCATCACGTAAGAATATTATGACAAAGAAAAATATCGGGATTTTTTTTGTTAGATAAATATTCCCTGAAACTTAAGGATAAATAACACAAACTTTGAAAAAAAATCAGCATTATTTTTCATAGATTTACATTTAAATTAAAATCCTGAATAACGTTCACCAAGTAGAGTGAGAGAATTATATAAGTTTTTGTCTTAAGGTTAAAAAAATGTGCAAAATTTTGTATGGAATTATATAGAAAGCAAAACAAAATCTCATATATAAGCACCAGGGAAAACCTCCGATTTCTCAATATTTCAGGGATTTATTATTTATGTCACTTCAAATCAAAATCAGTCAAAAAATATATATCAACCCGCGCATCCATTTTTGGTTTGTGGTAAGTACCCTTAAACATGATGGAAATACCCTAGGTATCTTAACTAATAATCTTACATCAAACTTGTTCAGATATGTGAAGTTTGAATCATAAGTTACATCCAAAACTTTGTTAAATAATCAGGATTGATTGTGTGGTGGTCCTCAACTTGGTGGAGAGGACAATTCATCCTCGTCCCTGTCCTCAGCTTCTCCTCCTCAATAAAATTGTCATCAATTTCTATTCCAATGATCTGATCCCGCTCTTTCACACACGTAAATCCTGTTTTGTATGACAGATTTTTGTGAAAAGTATTAGTGATATCTTTCAAAATTCCATTAACTATCCACTTTATTTCAAGTGTTGTATCTTTCTCCAAACGCCCTTCTTCTTCGGAGTGCAATATTTGAAGCTGAATTGAAGTCACCGTAACGGCAATTACAAAATAATGATGTCTGAAGTTAAACATAGCAGCATTTTTGTACAGACATTGAGTTCCTTTACTTCGGAGGACTTCTAGCTCTTCCCTTTGCATCAAGGCCACAACGAGGCGGTAAAATAAGAAAAAAGGCAGGAAGTCGAATAGGAAAACTTTAACTGAGGTTCTTGCACTTAATTTCTGAACAAACTCTTTTTGATCTGTATCAAATTTTCTTTTATTCATACATGGAACATAATGACATTTCTCACCGACGGCCAAAAGTCCTAGTCTCATCATATACGAAAGCAACGCTGCCTTGTGGAGCACATATGAACTATCATTGCTTTGACGGGCATCTATATCAGTAGTTTTGGCTTTTGTGTGAACTTCCTCCTCCCGAGACTTCCAGATGCCAACCAAAAGAGAATCCTCTAGGTTCCCTGTCGAGTAATATTCTTTCCATTCTTTTTTATTTGCAATTATTCCTTGCACATGTAAATTGTCTGTAATTATGGTTTTAAATGCATTGATGAACCACTGGACGTCTATTACTACTGACTCTCGGAGTCTTGTTTCGTTAAAGAAAAGACATTTTCCAGCATCATGATAGTATCTCAACATGTCAAAAGCATTACCTTCTTTTGCTTTCTCTTCGACGGGCATTCTATTACACAATTCTCTGGAAGTTAACATTGGTTTATTGTTATTCTTTTCATTGATTTCATCATTAAGAAAAATCCATTCATGTGGTATTTTTTCGCTCCATTTTGATTTTAAGGTGATATCTATAATACATCTCTCTAGATCCCCCAAGGACTGAAAAGGTGGAAATTGTGCGAGAAAACATCGATCTTCTCGTAGATATTGCGACAAATGAGAGTTGTTTGGTAATACGTTGTACAAAGATTGCAAGAAATCTTTTTTGTCCTGTAATAATGAAACTTAAATGTAAATTACAAAAAATTAAATTGTTGATGAGAAAAAAGGTATTTCGTATATAATTTTTTTTTTAATTCATCAATGAATTCTGTGGTAAATTTAAAAAAAAAATGAATTATCATTTATATAATGACGGATTGTAACGTAAAACTAAACAAGCCGTTTCATGAGTATTGTTATGAAATTTATATTTTCAAAAAAAAAAAAAATAAAAACATGTAATAAAAAATGAGTAAAATTTTACATGTAACGAAACTGTAATCTTACAGAGGCTTTTAGGTTACCTTGTATATGGTTTTATCCCAGTGTGTTGCTACAATAAGTACTTCTACCTTATCTTCACTTCCATGGTTTACAGGTGAACAATAGGTGTGGATTGATTTCAACCAAAATACAAAATATTCTGAAACATACGCATTATTAATCATTGTGGGAAAAGTATTTCCTTCACAAATTTTAAAAAAGTAAAAAAAAAAAAAAAAAGAAAGATTTTTTGGCAGTTTAAATTTTCCAGTGATTACATACATGTAACAAAGCTTAAGGTTTTTCAACTTCTTATTGAAAAATTTTAAAGGACTTAGTGTATAAAAATGATCTTACCGCTGTAGGTCCATCCAGAGAACACAGTGTCCATCTGATCACACACCGCTGTATCCACCACCTGGTCAAGGTCTTTAGAGGCGTCTACAACCACTATGTAAAAGGCTCTCCTTGTGAGGTAAATCTGGTGACAAGCGTAGTAAGCACACTGTCCTCCGAAGTCAAAGAAAGTCAAAGTCTTAACTGAGGGTTCACTTCTTTTCTCTCCTCCCTTCTCACGGTTACCTCTACTGTGGATTATTCCTTGGAAAATCATAATTGTTTTATCTTATCATATACTTTATCATATACATTACTTAGGTACAAAAATGAAAATAAAGTATTATTTAAGTTAGCAGAAATAAATCGCAAGATTCCCAGCCAATCCTTAACAAACATACCTACCGGTATATTTATAAGATAAGTGAACAAAACTTTTTTTTTTATCCAAAGCATGATTTGAGCTTTTTATTATATTTCGTGAACGATCTCGAAACTTACTTGTTTTTGGTATTAAAATAGAGATATGGAACATGTATATTTCTTAATGTAAAATTGATATTCTCTATTCTTGTTAATTACTTCTGTATTTGCGACCACTTAACAATATGTAGCCTGAGATTGATGTGATTCTAAAAATATGTTAACTTTATAAACAAATGTGTCACCCACATGTAGCATTTTATCGATACTACCTTGTAAAGATTTTGTTTCATCACATAATTCAAATATCTCCTCATGCACCTGCAGTCCCTCAGTAGATTTTACTTCTTTTATCTCCTCTTCACTACAACCAAGCAGACGTTTAAGTAGCGTGGTTTTCCCCGCCCCAGCACATCCTACAATAATCCCCCGGGCGTGGTGGACTGTCTGTGTTCCTCTCTTAGCGTACTCCACATACCGCTCTCTGGCCTCCTGGTCCCAGTCTAGTGTTTCCCTAGGAACTTTCACTATTAAACAAAATTCTACCAAAGGTTACATTTATCGTGACTCTAGTATATGTATTGATATACATTATAAGCCCACCTGAGTTTTTTTAACCAAAATTAATCCGTTGTTTGTCGTCGTCGTTGGCATAGCAGTCGTTCTCGTATTTGTTTCACATTTTCATCCTCTTTTTCAGAACTACTTGGTCAATTTCAAGCAAAGTTAAGTATGATTGGTTACAGTTAAATCGAAGTATCTACCGGTAGTGTAGATTCAGGAATATAAGACTTTTTTTAAAATCAAAATTCTTCTCAAAACCAGTGTGTCAGAAAAGCTGGAACTTATGTTGAAGCATACTGGGGCATTGGAGATTCTAAAACATTCAAATCGTGATCCCGACCCCCTGGGGTAAGAATTAGCCACAATAGGTATAACAATGGGAGAATTCACGTGAAGGACAACATTAACAGGGTCAGAGTTACTCAGATGAGCGTTGTGGACCATGGGTCTCTCGTGGAAATTTTTTAATTAAGTGTAAAATATATTTGAAACTTAGTTTGTATACATATTAAAACAGTGATATGTATAAATACAACTGTGGTTAATTTGATAGCAAGTCAGAGTCGCAATAAGGAGGACGGGAGTTCGGTCACTGGTGTGGGTGATGTCAATATTTTGTTAAAAATCAAACCACGCATTATTTCGATATAAAAAAGTAAATTCTGTGTAGTCTGAAAACGTTGGGTATATTGATCATTTAGAGGCTAACAGACTGGAAGCATAATAATAAACTATATGTACAGTTAACTATATTATAATCCATGCACTAGACGCCTGTGAAACCATAGGCAGCTGAAATATGGATTTACCAACTCAAATTTTAAAAATTAGTAAGAACCTAAGCATTTTCAAAAACATGAGATTTCCACGTCAGTCATATCCATGTTTCGATTTATCCAAAAAGCGTTTTCTCATATTTAGAGACTAGTTCTGTGCCGTATAATAAAATACACATGAAAGAAAATTTATAAACAAAGGGGATCCCTTGACAGAGTGAAGCAGTACTGCCATTTACTTGGAACTATGTTCCGAATCAGGTAACCTCCTTCCCATGGTTTATTATTTATTTTTTTTATTCACTTATTTCTGAAAGACTCACTTCCCTTTCATAATTTTTTTGAGAATCCATAGGAACAAAACAACCTTTCCCGCAAATCTTATGCTCAACAACAAAAAAAAAGAAATGTTTTACTCGTCAAAGAAAATTTGAAAATGTACAAGGAACAACAATCTTTTTTATCACAGAATACCTGTGACCAAATGAAAGGACAATATGAACTTTTAAAACCTAAGTGTTAAGTTATTTCCCTTGATAAAAAGTGTTTGTGAAGTGTTTATGAAAAAAATGTTTTACATGTTGATTTTTTGTAAATCAGATGTCTATTTTCATTGATATTTTGAATTTAGAGAAACTATAAACACTCACATTCAACTCATATTTATGAATTGATTGTAGTGTTGATGCTACAATGCCACGCCGAAACAAAGATGAACACAACCAGGCTAACGATGATCTACTAATCGGAACTACGCAACATGAAGTTACATCTATATTCGGATGCTGGAGAGTCATTTCGAGTCATTCCGTGAGAGGTCGGAAAAACAACTTCCGCAAGTCGGAAAGGCGCGAGAATTTGCGATTGGGAGAGTTCGCCCCCCCCCTCCCCATATGACAGCTTACACGTAGAATAATTCGCCCTATTCGAATTAGAATATACCATGTTCATCGGCAAATCTCGCTTTTAAATCTGCATATCGTATTTATTAATTCATTGGCAAATCCGAATTTCTTTCTTATACATATACACATCGATTCTACGACAGATGCAATTTAAAAAGTATAGGAAGAACTTGCAGAATATAGAATAACACCTTGAATTAAGAACTTCATTCAACGATTAGTTCTAAGTTTAGAAAAGATAGAATTAGTCTTCTTCGGCATTTGTTTTGTGCATCAAGCCTTGCAAAAATAATTATATATACAGCAATCAAAATACAGCTTGATACAGGCCAGCAGCAACGGTTTTCCATGTGGAGGAGGGCGGGGGGGGGGGGGGCTCTGAAAAAAATCTGCGTACTACAGAGCTGTGCTTCACGTGTATCATCAGATATATTTTTCCAATTATAGATTTCTTCTGAATAAATCCAGAACAGATGTAAAGTCCCAGCCGTTATGGGTTAAAATAGCCCAATTTTTTAAAATGACAAAACTTTTTAGGCCAATCGGAGATAACATTTAACAATTTTGCTATATGTAAGTACTATTGATCAGTCAGAGTAGGCAGATCATAATAAAAAAGTGAACGAACCTACATGAATATACACTTACCCTAGAAAATGTCTTGAATTGAATTTCGTTTAGAAACACATGCATTTGGTCCACGTATTGTAGTTTTTTTAAAGGACAGCAACTTGTTCTTAAATTAATATTTACATGTATCATACTTAAGATTTGCAAGGATATTGACCAAGAGTGCACATTATTTTCAAAGTGCATTAACTTATTAACTTGATCGCACATCAAGAAATTTTTTCAAAGTGCGTTTTAACAATGCAGAAACAGATCAATAGCAGTGGCGGGGAATGGTTTAAAGGGATTTCTACTCTCCCTTTGGATTTGAAAAGAAGAGAAAGAAGAAAGTCCTAAATTTGTGTAGTATTTTTACAGTGAAGGGCTAATATTGTAACATATAAAGAAATTGGGCTGTAAAAACAAAATGACTCCCCTCCTTTACAAAATAAATTTTTCGGGTTAGGAGATTTATTTTTTGTTATCTTTTAAAAACTTTGAAGTAATTCAGGTGACTTTTTTTATTATCAGCCTTCCAACTTTAAAAACTACACTCCACCCTGTATCCTATTGATTAATTAAACTGCATGTACGTATCAAAGGCGGATCCAGGGCCTGTGTGCCTGGTGTGTCCCCCTATTTTAATTTTCTGTCAGTAAAACATATGCCAATTATCTTAAAATCAGGGAAAACATCTCTGATTTGTAAGAATGTTTAAGCCCCCAACAGGGCATTTTCCTACATCCACTGCATGGGGCTTCAGTGTAGCCCCTAGACCCCCTGACTTCTACTGCCCCCCTTACAAAATTTCTCTGCGCCTGTATAGAGATTTTAATTCCGTGGACTTTCAGTAGTGATAACAAAAATATTCAATTCTATATCAAATGTGCAAGACATGCCAAGATTAGAAAGAAAATTTGGTTTTGCAGCAAAGTAGGAAAACTTTAGGACATAAGTATTATTTTTTTAACAGGGGAACGAGAGACATGTTTCAGATCATCCTCCAGATTAAGAGACAACGACGAGTATTAAGACCATATCAACCATATTGAGAGGAGCTGTCATTTAAGTTTTATGACATGATGAAAAACTTACTAAATACATACACTTTTTACTGATCCTGTCATGAATCCCCTCGTCAGACACAGTACAGTGTGAGATGATGTCCAGCTGTAGTTTGTCTATAAAGAGGTCGTACATCTTCTCCGGTCTGTTCGGTACATACAGACATCTCTCTCCCTCACTCCTCTTATAATCCCAGGACCTGCAGTATTCTGATATCACGGCACGTGACGCCGTGGTCAGGAAAAACTCCAGATCACTGTCTCCAACCAGACACTCCGTAACAAAGGCGTACATGACGTCATGTCGGATGTCGTCTGATATAAACGTTATCACACCATTATGTGTTTCTGTGATTTCTTTAGGAAGATCTACCAAACCGTCTACAGTAATATCAGGGAAATATTTGTCTCTGATTTTGTCCCTTATGATCCTGTGAGATTGTTCATTCAGATTCAGCTGATATTTCTCAGTTAACAGTAGAGAATACAGTAGACACCTGACATCCGGTGGATTGTTAAGATGTTCACCTAAAGCAACACAAAGAAAGGTCAACAACATACACTGTACAAGATATACATTTACTTGTATATACAGCTGTATTTAAGAGTAAGAATTTTCCTGTTTAATTTTTTCTCTAATATCAACGACATGATAACAAATTATTCATGAGACAGTTGGTTTTCAAATGTAACATATTTCTGTAACAGAATGGCCATAGATTTGTCAAGATGTAAATCAATGAAACTAATAACTTTAAAGAAACATCTGAAAAAATTATTAGAGAAGATTTCCTTCATTATTGGTTTAAACAAAGAGATGATAGTTGTCTATCTGGTAAACTTACAACATATTTCTATATAAAAAGAGGTTTTGAAATTGAAAAGTATTTATTATTAAAAAAATTTGAACAAAGAAAAATTATATGCAAATTTAGAGTGAGTTCACATAACCTCAGAATAGAAAGTGGAAGATACGAAAAAAAACTAAACTCTGTTGGAGAGCAAACCATCCTTGCAAGAAATGAAAGAATTTGTAGAATGTGCGACATGAACTGTGTGGAAGATGAGATACAGTCACTGATTGAATGTCCATTATATAAACATGATAGAGATGACTTTTTTAATATTATTGCTAAAAGTAATAACAATTTCTATATTTTAACAAATAAAGAACATTTTTTATGGATTATGTCTAATGAAGATGACATGTTGCTTGTAGAGCTGGGTAATTTTTTAATCAATATCTTTAAAATAGGAAATAGCAAATTATGCAATGTTAAACAAAGAAACAAATAAATACAAAAGAGTAATATACAAATACTTTAAACAAACTTTTATTTACAGTATATTGATTATATATGTTGTAATCCCCTGTAATCCCTAACTGCTGTAACATCATTTATCTTTTGTTAGTTACTGCTATCAATTTTGAATTTCTTCTTGTATGTTGTTTTTTTTTCTTATTACTTGTATGCCCTGATGGGCCCCAAATTGGTATTAATAAATCTTATCTTATCTTACACGATATCTGTAGTATTTTTATCAAAATTATTATGTGGAGAAGCCTATGATATTCATTGTCTTATGATACTCAAACTTGCCTTATAAATTGTTGAAAAGGTATATCCAAACGGAATACTTATAAACATCGCATTTATATGAGTACACATCTTCGCTAGCCAAGGGTTTCTGATACGTTACTCTCCTCATACACCCTTGGCCTACGGTGTTCATAGAAATCAAGATTTTTTTCCAGAGTTCTGATTGGATTTCAGTACACCCAGGTTGACCAATCAGCAATTGTTTTTTGTAAATGACGATATTTGCGTTCGGGATACATCTTCACTCTTTAATCTCGGAAATGAAAAACGCAAGTAAACAATGATCCGTAAGATAAAATTTAATTCTATGAATAGCCATGGTGTCATACAATATCTTCTAAATATGTGATCAAGAATCTATATTGAAGCTTCAGATTTGTTCTATATATAATGAATAAATATAACTCAATTATTGCTTCTTAATAATTCTTGAAAAAACTTTGATTTAATTTTTTTTGTAACACGTGTCTTTATTTCTGGCGATGACGCAATCTATGCGTACCTGATAGATTCGAGATCACGTGACGGAAAACAATCCCGTCTTTTGACTACACCGTATGCCAAGGGTTTATGAGGAGAGAAGCGTATCAGAAACCCTTAGCTAGCGAAGATGATGAGTACAAGGAACGCATAGCAACAAAACAACACACTTTTATTTTTAAATATTTACATTTCCAATGTCTTTGTCCCAGATAAAATTACCAATTGTAAATCTAATTGATTTCCTTATGAATGTTTTGGCGCGGGCGGGACAACACCTAGAGAGAAGCAGGCTTGGAGCCCGGGGATTGGCGGAATCAAAGCATGTAAATATAAGGAATAACTGTCAGATTTTTCGAATTCATGAAGATGATCAATGGATTGGCATGTGTGATAATTTTATGCATAAACGCCTTCGGCGTTAATGCAAATTATCACACAAGCCAATCCATTGATCACTTCATGAATTCGAAAAATAAGACAGTTATTCCTTAATTGAGAGATCTGTAGTTTTGTTAGAAAAGACTGAAACAGAGGAAATAATATTTTTCAAAATTGTTTTATTGAGATAATTTCTCATTGATAAAAACATGATTACATATTGTTTATGCATACTTTTTTCAGTTCTAGCCTATTTTTATTTTACCCGTACCAATTATCAACAATAAATGTTCACCAGACTGGTACTGTCTATTTACCCCCCCCCCCTCCCCCCACCCCTCTTGAAAAGCGGGAGATTATGTAATGATCAGGATGTCCGTCCGTGTGTCTGGAGTCTTTTACTTATATGTAATCGGATGAATGGGAGAGTCTTTAAAAGATTAATACTTGTAAAACTGTAATGAGTTAAGCCTTATGTTTACATGTTTGTAAATCAAAATAAAACATCATTGAACCTTTCTTCTTACTTGGTTTTCTGTAAGGTTTGTTGTCGATGATGTAAATGTCCCAGTGTAGATGACGGCCTATACAGGATCTCACGATGTCAGGTCTATTGTATCTCCCGTATCTCCAGAGCCACGTCACGTGATCTACACTGTCCTGTGATCTTCCTCTGTAATGTACAGCCTCCCCTTCTCTTCTTAGATCCATTAGAAATTGTTTCCTTTTATCCTTATCCTCGTTCAGTATATTGTCTGGGATATTCACTGTCAAAGAAAATGAATCTTGTATATTAATATTGTAATAGTACTTTTATAATAATTATTAATAGAAATATTATTTGAAACAAGAACGATTTAAGAACCACTTGATTTTCAGTTATAAAACAAATATCCACTCTTTATAACATGAATGTATACCTGACATTGATCAATATCTTACATATAGCAATATACATGTATTTACAGTTATGATGACTCTGTCTAATTTATATGAATTCAATAAATTCTTTCATTTAATTAAAACATCATACAATATTTAGCATTTCCCCACACTGACTTACAGATCTTTTTTATCTCATATATACCCGTGTCCTCCATGGTGACGTGAGTCAGTATGTTCATCTGCAGACGGAGTATCAGTAATGAATCCAGGATATTGGCAATACTACCATCACAAATGACACACTTCTCTCCAGGTTTTATATTGTATTCCCCTGATCTCAGGTACACACTGGCTGTGTCATAACTACTGTAATAGAATGGTATATAACAGTCTATTGATGCTATCCTATACATTGTCTCATCCTTTGTGTCCTCCGTTATCTTATCCTGATCTTCCCAAAGGTAATCACGTGACTTCAGTCTGTCCAGAGTCTGCTGTGCTTCCTCACGTGTTACAGGATTCCTATCATCGTACACTTCCTGTCGTATCCTAATAAGCAAGTCCAGCCACCCTGTGTCAGTGAAGTCAGGAGGACCGGAGTCAGAACACAGAAAACAGAATAACAAGGACACCTCGTCATCAGTCAGTGTGGAAAACTCATCTAGATAATGTAATGGATTATTGATTAATATTAGATAATTTGAATAGTTTTTATCAAATTAATCCTCGCGTATATAATGTGTTTTGTTTTATATGTAAATGTGTTTTGTTTAATTTATCTTGTGTCGCGGTATATTATAGTACTGTTTGTACAATATGAATAATCTGTAATAATGCTTTTTCCTTGATTACTAAGTAAAATGTACTACATGTACGCGCTATTATAAATAAATCAAAATTTATTAAGACTTTTATATGATCAAAAAGCAAGGTTTGCGATCTGACCGATAAAAATAATAAATAATTACATCTTTGCCTTTTCGAAATGAAAAGGAATAACACAGTGTTATTGTCATAGGTATTACGTATTTTTTTATTTACTGAAAATTTCGGTCAAATTGATAGGTACGCGAACTCCTGTGCTGTAAGCACACAAATATACAGAGTATATAAGCCTTTGTCCTATTAGAACAGATGCAGGCCTGTTTTCCCTAGTTGGGTCCATATTAATTCAGCAAATGTAATCATAGTCGTTTATTTTTTGACGAGCCTCCCCACCTCACACACGTACTATCGGTCAACTTTCATATATCTGATGAACCTATTTCGTGAGATGAAGCTGATATGGGTTGCAAAAATGTTTTCTCTTAATCTTTTTTCTTCAAATACACGACTTTTCCTGCTATTCAGAGAGTGAAAATGTGGGAGGGGGGGGGGGGGTGGGGGGGGGGTTTCCAAACAAGGTCATTTCTGTGTGTTAAAAAAAAACAAGACTGATATCGTAGGGAAAGTATGTAATCAATATTTTTAATTGGGATTTTTTTATATCAGTATATGCCCTATATTTTCATAAATTATTATTTAATGATTTAAAAGCGAAACTCTTCTGATCAATATTTTGTTAATTGTGATAAGAATATATGAGAACAGGGGTGGATCCAGTAGTTTTTGAAAGGGGGGTCAGGTGAGTGTCCCCCAGCACACTGTATAGAATCACACTATGGCCACTCCAAGTCCGTAGCTACATTTATAAGAGGGAGAGAAGTACAAAATAAGAATTTGACAATCAAAACAAAGCAAAAAAAAAAAACTATGCACCACAATCTAAAATCCTTTTCTTTGGGAGAGGATAGAGAGGGTTTCCTGTTCTGTGTATTACTTTTAAATGCTTGAATATGCGTCTTTTTCGGCAACAAAAAAATGTAGAGGGAGCTTCGAAATCAAAATGTTAATTAAAACTGCAGCGAAAAATTATTCTCAGAAAAAGTTCAGAGCCCTTTTCCATCTGCATTCTACGGGATCATTTTAAAAATTTATCTTCTTTGACTAAAAATAAATTATTCATATTTCTAAAAGTAATTTTCATCTAAAGATGCTCCAAAAATGGTACATGTATTGCAAAAGTTCGCAAGAATCTTATTTGTATGTTTCTTGTGAATGGGTGCTCGGAGCCCATAGCAGGATTTGTAAAGGTACCCAGAGGAAAGCAACTAAATACGAGAATTTCTACTGATCTAGCAATGAGAAAGGACAGTGATTTTAAAATTTTATTTTTTAAAAAGATAACACTTATAAATACCTATGTTACAGGACATAAAAACCCTTCTCTCTCTCTTTCTCTCCCTCTGTACAAAAATAACGGGGAGGGCTTCCAAGCCCCGGACCCCCCCTCCCCCCATCTTGATCCGCCAATGTGAGAATGAAATTATGAAATAATGAAGGTTGAATGTTGCTGTTACAAACATATATATTCATTGAATTTTTTTCCTTTGTATACTTGAATATTCACCTGATATCTTTGTACTCCACTTTCCGTAACTGTCTAAGTCCTCTACAAGAAAACAGCATCAAAATAAATGAAGATATATTGAAATTCAAAATTATTTAACCTATCTTAAGGATCACCTTGCATACTCGAGAATATCGGTTTGTATATATATAGAGAGATCTCCCCCCCCCCCCCCCCCCCCCCCCAATAAAAAAATGATATTATATAGCAGTTTCACCGCCTTACGAAAAAAGTGGACATAAAATGGATTTTTGCGAGAAGCACTGACTTTAACATTTGACGGTTTAATTGGTAATTTCAAATTTTTTCAAAGGTCTTATAGGTATGGTATTATGGGCACTTATATGTGAAGGCCGACAATTGTGGGCAGAGTGGTTGTCGTTTACTTCACAGACAACTTATATGTGTATTGAAATAACCTGTTTTTTTTAAGTGGCACAGTGAAACACAAGGGGGGAAATTGACAAACGTAGAATTTTCGCATGACCTCTGTAAATTTTGTTCAATTCTTTAAAGTATTAGGTTTCAGAAAATAACAGGTTTCAGAACCTAAAAATTAAAATTTTACGGGGAAAAATAAAAGTAAAAATAATTTCTGTCTGCCCCAGAACGAAAATATTGCAAAATACCTTGGTACTTCTGCAGAAGGATAAAACGTACGCTGAACTAGGACCTGAGGTCCCCTGCTCAGTTCACGACTATCAGGCCTGTTTACTCCGCTACAAAATGTAGTTCGTTGCATACGTAAAGTGAAAATAGAATAAATCGTAATACTGTGAAGCCTTTAAAGTGTAAAACAAAAGACTTTTTAAAAGGAATAACCATCTGATGGGTATTAGAAAAGATAGACGGGGTGGAGGGTGGGTGCTGAGCAACATTAACTGCAATTGTATGCGATATATGATATATAAGCATTTAACATTTATGGATTACGTTAGGTGACCTGTGGTCTCCCTTATGATTTTCTTCCATGTAACGTTATAGTACACATCAGTAGGGGACAACAGTAAGGTGACCAGAAAACAAGTAATATTGTACATCAGTAGGGGGACCAGAGGTCACCTTATATTGTACATCAGTAGGGGGACATCAGTAGGGAGAGCAAAGGTCACCTTATATAGTACATAAGTAGGGGGGGCCAGAGGTCACCTTAAACTGTACATCAGTAGGGGAACAAG